TTGACCGAGATTTTCTCATCTTGGTGTGCTTGGACTACCACTGACCAAGATGAGAAAATCTCAGTCAACCACAGTCCAAGATCAACTCGGACTTCACTGTCTGAGAACACCTCAGACAGCCTTGTCTGAGTAATTTTTGCTGGTGGTGAATATTGCAGCAGCAGTTTGGCATCAGCAGGGAGGATACCAAATGAGGCCAATTGGTCCACTGTGAGCCATCGGTCCTTGACTGGAAGGAAATGTTCAAATGTAAAATAGTGTTTCTGATGAAGAATGACTGTCACTGCCTGAATGTGATCAAGGTGAACTCCTACATAGCATACATAGTGGCTAATTGGAAATATGGTTCTGATGGACTGCACCTGCCCCCAATCAACCAAAGCTGTCTGGTCAACCCTCTCAAAGCGCCCTGAGCTTTCAGTGGACTGTATTACATTTGTATTTGAGGGTGAAATGGTGGCAGGATTTGATTTCAAGGGCTCTGTGTCATGGCAGGATTGTTTCAATGGTGGTGGAAGCATCTCAGTAATTGATTGTTTGATGCTTGTCCACTTGAATCCCTCAAGGTACATCAGGGGACTATCAAGTGTGACACCCTTTGATTTTTTTGCCTAAAGACCTCACACATATTTAGTCACATGAGTTTGTTGCGAGTCTCAAGGAAGACTTACAAGTTCCTTGGCCCAATCACACATTTGCAGATGGGTAAGTTGGATGTACTGACTAAAATTATTTGGATTATAAACTTGCCAGCCTTCCTTGTTGGTGCCTTTGGTACCATGTCTGTTCAAGACATGGGCCAGCCAGGGCTGCTTGGGGTCTTGAGGTACTGTGTCCGCAATTGCTGAGGCAGTTGTTGTCTTTCCAGCTAGGATATTATGAGCCCAGAGAGCAGCCTGTTTACATGAGAGGGTCTGCTCAGAGAAGTCAAAGGTGAGTACTGCATGCAAAATGTAGTGGATGATACATAAGAGAGATGGAAAAACTTACAGCCTCCTCCTCTGCATGTTTCTGTGCTGGGTTTACAACTGTGTACACCACACTCACTGCACCATCTTTTGCCACAAGAGCTTTCACCAAAAATTCTGACCAGTCTTGTTGTGACTTCACTAAGACTTCTTTGGTTTTTCTGTAAATCTGACAACCTAAAATTTGAACTTGCATGTTGAGGTTTCCTGCCATGTCCTCAACCTGAAGTATAGCACTATTTCCATTCTCATTCTCATCCACATCTAACTCATCAGAAATTGGAAATGTAGCTTGTTTGAAATTTTCAAGGATCTGGATATCATTGAAAAACATCTGGTGGCCTTCAATTGCCAGTTT